GCCGCCAGCCCGCCCGTGCTCCCCCAACCCACAACCCCACGTCAAGCACCCCCACCTCCCCCCTCCCCCCTGCCCCCACACCTGGATGTGCGCCTTGCACTTGGGGCAGCGCTTGGTGTTGCTCGACAGCCAGTCGCGGTCGGCGCTGGGGGCGGCCCGCCGCAGCGCTGCCAGCTCCCCCTCCCACCGCCGCATCTGCGGGGCAGGCGCAGGGCGCAGGCCGGCTGGTTGGCTGGTTGGCTGGTTGGTTGGCTGGCTGGTTGGGCAGATGGAGGAGGAGGTGGGGGTACTTGACGTGAGGTTGTGGGTTGTGGGAGCACGGCCCCGCTGGCCGCCCCGCTCAGGGGCACACGGGCCTGCAGCAGCCTGCGCAGCCCCTGCACGAAATTGCCACGCAGGTTGGCGCCGCGTCGCGCCGCCGCAGCGCTGGGCAGGCAGCCGCCCACCCACCTGGGCGCACGAGGCCGGCTCGTGAGCCACCTCCCCGCACCGCCAGCAGAAGCGGCGGCCGCAGGCGCCGCACTCGGCATCCAGCCCCGCCTCGCCGGCCGCCCCCACCACCGCTGCCGCCGCAGCAGCCTCCTCCTCGGCCGCCGCCGCCCCCGCCGCAGCGGAGCCCTCTGCCGCTGCCGGGGTCTTGCAGGCCGGGGCCGGCGCCGCCATCTGGGCGCCGCCGGTGTCTGCTGCGGAAGCGGACGGCGGCAGGCGGCGTGTCGGCAGGTGCAGCGCCTGGCCGCACTCGGGGCTGGGGCAGCAGCGCATGGTGTGCGTGTGGGTGGCCAGGTAGCGCTGAGCCAGCAGCAGCCTGAACCTGGCCAGGCTGTCCGGCGGCAGCAGCCGGGCGGCGGCGGCAGAGGGGAGGCGCGTGGAGCAGCTGGGCTCGGGGCACTCGGCGCGTCGCGGGTCGCCTGCGGCGGGGGCGTGTGTGCAGGGGCAGCCAGCGGGTGGGCAGCAGGCATCCGGCAGCGGGCGGCGGCAGCACTCCAGAGCCTGGCAGGCAGGCAGGCGGGCAGGCAGGCAGGCAGGCAGCGGCAACACTGCGTGCCGCAGACGGCCCACCACCACCACCACAATCACCACCGCCGCTGCGCCCACACACCCACACGGCCGCACCTTCGTCTATGCTGGCCAGCAGAACTCCCTTCCAGCAGGCATCGCAGGTGGCGTGCCCGCAGGGCAGCCGTACGCTGAGCCAGCCGGGAGGAAAGTCCTCGAAGCACACGATGCAGCGCAGCAGGGTGCAGTCGATGCCCTCAGCGCCGGGCGCGGCCGCAGGGCCGCGTACCGCGGCGCCGCCCACACCCTCAGCTGCTGCCGCGGCGGGCGATGCGGCGGCTGGCGGCGCCCGCTGCTCGGCCTCGCTCGCCAGCTCCAGTACCTCGTCTTGCGACAGCGGGCGCAGCCGCAGCTGCAGCGGAAGCTGCAGCGGCGGCGACGAGCGGCGCCCGCCCGACTCCCGCCCCTCGCTGCCGCTCGCGGCGCCGTCGCCGGCTGCCCCTTCCTGCTGCTGCTGCTGCTGCTGCTGCCGCTGCTGCTGCTGGTGCCGCTCCAGCTGCGCGGCCTCGCCCCGGTTCTCCGCTGCTGCAGCCGAGGTGGAGCCAAAGGCATCCCACAGCTTGCTCAGCAGGCCCCCCAGGGCCTCGGTCACTGTGGAGCCGCTGGCGGACACGTGGATGCCGCTGGGCAGGCCCGCAGCGCTGCCGCCGCCGCCGCCGCCGTGGCTGAAGCCGCCGCCGCCGCCGCCGCCCAGGCTGCGCTGCACCAGGCTGCAGGCTTCCATCTGTGGCAGCGACAGCGGCAGGCCGCCGCCGGCGGCCGCCGCCAGCAGCCGCGCCGCCGCCCACTGGCGCCGCTGCAAGGCCAGCTCGAGCGGGGTCAGGCCCGCGCCGTCCTGCACGCTCAGCAGCAGCTGCAGCGCTGCGGCGGGTGCTTGTGGTGCCGCGCCCGCCTCCTCTGCCTGCTGCTGCTCGCTGCCCAGGCCCAACACCTGCCGCAACGCCGCCAGCAGCAGGGCAAGCACCTGCAGGCTGTCGCTGTGCACGGCCGCGTGCAGCGGCGTCTGCCCCGCCGCGTTGCGGCAGCCCGCCAGCAGCGCCAGGCGCGGCTGGTGCAGCAGCAGGCAGGCCAGCAGCTGCGCGCGCCGCTTCTGGTGCCGCGAGGGCCAGGGGCCGCTGCGGTGTGGGGCCAGCGCCAGCAGCAGGCAGCCGCCAAGGCCCAGCGCCTCCCCGCTGCACAGCCAGTGCAGCACGGTGTTGCCGCCGTCCTCTGCAAAGGGCTCCAGCAGGCCGGCCGCGGCCTGCAAGGGGGGTCACGCCAGCTGGTTGGCGGGTTGGCGCCCGCCGGCAGCGGGCGCAGGAACGGCGCCGGCGCTGGAGTGAAGGGCAGCTTGCCTGCTGGGTCGAAGGCGCCTGCTCCTCACTACCGATGCATCCCCCCCAGCTGTGCGCCCGGGCTTTGAGAAGCTTGAGCGCGGCAGCGGCCTCGCCGCGAAGGCAGGCGCTCCTCAGGTGCTGCCGGTCTGAGGACGTGAGATACATCGGTCAGAGGGCTATGGCAGCATCCAATTAATCGGCAGGAGGCCCACGCCGGCATCAGATGCTGGACTTTGGCACGGTGCAGCCACTCCGATATCCCGGCTTGATATTGTATGCACGAGAATGTATGCAGTTGCAAACGGCTATAGAAGGGACGACACGAAAGCTGAGCTGGACCAGAGCCAATTGGAAGAGCCGGAAGTCGCCCCCAAGCTGTTGTGGCACACAATTGGATCGCACAACGCAATGGTACTGCATAGGATGCTTGGGAGGGCGCCGCTGGCAGCGCTGCCGCCCATCACCACCTCGCCACTGCGCAGGCTCTGGGCGCCCGCAGGCAGGGCCGGTCCCAGGACACCTCCCCTCAGCGCCACCATCACGTCGGCAGCAGCAGGGCCCCTGGCGCCTGCCAGCCGCGCGGCGTTCAAGGCGGCGGTGCGAGGCGGCCAACCGCTGCTCGGGCTCTTCCTGAACTCCGCCTCGCCACTGGCGGCGGAGCAGCTTGCACAGCTCGACTACGACTACTTGCTGGTGAGCTGGGGGCAAGGCTTGGCGAGGGCTGGCTGCTCGGCCGCCTGGGGACTGGCACGCCTGTCCCATGCCTCCTCCTCCTGCCCAGCCAGCGCTCCTCGCCTGGCACTCCCCCCCGCACCTGTCTGCCATGCATCGAAACACGAGCAGGTCGACATCCAGCATGCGCCCACCGACTACCAAAACCTGGCGGCCATGATCACGGCGGTAAATGCGGGCGGCAAGCCGGTAGGCGGGTTGGGGGGGCGCAGCGCAGCGGGCGCAGCAGCTCGGCATCTGCGCCTACCTCCCCGGCGGCATTGGCGGCGCACACCTTCAGGGATGATACCCTTCGCCGCTGCCGCTGTGTGTGCGCGCAGGCGCTGGTGAGGGTGGAGGGGCCACACGACCGGGGCGGCATCCAGCAGGTGGGCGGCTCATTGAGGGGAGGCAGATGGGGCCCCACCTGTGGCCCCCGTGCTGGATGCCCGGCAGGAGAGGCCTGGCCCATGATGCACACTGGATGGGGGCTGCCTGCTGTGCTGGGCTGTGCAGGCGCTGGACCTCGGGGCGGCGGGAGTGATGGTCCCCACGGTTTGCACGGGTGGGCAGGCTACCCTTGGCTGCCTGCTGCGTCGCTCGCCGGCTGCCGCCGCGGCACCGGACCGCCGCAGGCTTCACCGGGCTGCTCTAACAGCCTGCGGGCCTGCCGGTGCAGCCGCGGATGTGGAGCGCGTGGTGTCGGCCTGCTTCTACCCCTCCCCTGCCTTCCCCACCGGCAACCGCAGCATATCGTGGCCCATCAGGTGGGCGGCGATGGTGCGTGGGGGCGTGGGTGGCGGCCTGCGCCTGCCCAGGGTGCTCTCGCGACCGCCAGCGTCTGCCGCAGCCAGGACAGGCGCTGCTGTGGCAACACGCGGCGCCAGCCGGCAGCCGCCTTCCCAAACACAGCAGCGCGACCCTGCTGCCCATGCCGGGCCCGCCCATGCCGGCCTGCTTGTGGCCAGGCCGCAGCTGGGGCGGGGCGTGCCTGAGTACCTGGCTGCCGCCAACGACGAGGTGGTGCTCATCATCCAAGTCGAGACGCGGCAGTGCTACGAAGACCTGGAGGCAAGGCCTCCCGCGCGCAGCTGGCGGCGGCGGCTGCCGGCGGCGCGTGGCGCGGCGCGGCATGCACGCGTGCAGCCCTTGCCTGTGCGCCGCAGCCCTGAGGTGCCGTGGTGCGTGCAAGCCCTGCAGGCGGTGCTGTCGGTGCCGGGTGTGACCTGCTGCTTCATGGGCCCGGTAGATCTCTCCCACGCCCTGGGCCTGGCCCAGCGCCTGGGCTTCCCCGCCTGCTTCGATTCCCCAGACTTCCAGGCAAGCGATGGCGCGCTGGGCGGGCGGGCAGCACACCTGCAGGGGAGTGCCTTGGGAGTGCCTCACCACCCGCCGTCCCCCCTGTTGCAGGACTGCTTGCAGCGTGTGTCCGGCGTGTGCAGGGACAAGGGCGTGACGCCCGGCAACTTTGCGCTGTCGGAGGCCAAGGCCAGGGAGATGCTGGCCCAGGGGTTCACCCTGCTGGCCACCGGCACCGATGTCGGGCTGATGGGCGAGGCGGCGGCCAGGAATGCGGCGCTCGCCGGCAAGCTGCGGGGCCAGCAGGCCTGATGCCGCGGGGTGCACATGAGTAGAATGAAGCCGCTTGCGTGCTCCTGCAATGCTCGACTGCCAAATGGAGATGAGATGTTTCGGCGGCGTGCTGCCACCTGTTTAGCCGCCGCCATTTCATGCAAAGCAGGAACAGGACTACCTCGCTTCCTTCCTCTGACACTCACATACTTGTCAACATGGCTTTCAGCGCGTGCTCCCTCTGGGCTGGCCCGCGGCATGGCACCTGGTCACGGCACCCGGCCCGGCCTTCGCGACTCCCTTGCCGCAAGCCTGGGCTGGGTTGCGCAACGGCAAGTGATTCGGAAGCTCCCAGAAGCAGCAGCGGCGATGGCGCCGGCCCCAGCAGGGCCAACGCCGCCAGCCTGCCGCCTGGCCGCCTCAAGCAGCTGCGTCGTGATGGTCTGGCACTGAAGGACGTGATCAAGCTGGGGCGGCGAGGACCTGCAGAGGGGCTGGCCAACCAAGTGCGGCATCGGTGGAACACCTCTGAGGCGAGTGCCGGCCCTGCTGCCACGCTGGTGGCCACTCGCTCGCTCTGGTGGCTGCCGTGCCCATGTGGGCGCATGGCCTGCTTCCCGGCGGCAGCGCGCTGTGCCCATGACGCCAGGCTCAGCCTTCCACACCTGCACCCACCCATCTGGCCGCACTCACCCACCCGCCCGCCCACCCGTCATGATGCAGGTGGCGCGGGTGTACTGCCACGGCAAGCACGCAGCCAACATGAAGGTGCTTGTGCAGCAGCTGGAGGCGGCCACGGGCGGCATGGTGGTGCACAAGGCCGGCGGCACGGTGCTGCTGTACCGCGGCGACGGCTGGCAGGGGGGGGCGCAGCCGCTTGCAGGGCAGCCGGTCCAGGAGGGAGAGCAGCAGGAGGCGCAGCAGGGAGAGCAACAGCCTGTGGCTCCTGAGGAGGCGCAGGCGCAGGCGCAGCCACAGCCGAATCCTGGCGCATCATAAAGCATGCCAGCGGCAGGGGCATCCTTCATGTATGTGCACTGTGCCGCTGTGGCTACTGTTTGCTATTACAAAGCAACACCCAAGGAGGCCAAAGGCAAGAAAAAAGGAAGAAAAGATCTCGAGACCCACAAAGTGCGAAGGTGGCGTGGCATGGTGCAAGCGGACGCATCAAACAAAACCAACATCAGGCGCCAGGTCATGGAAATAATGCTTTCTTCTTTCGTTGGTGAGGTACCATGGGAGGGTAGGAGTGGCACAGCAGCAGCCACACGGGGGGGAGCGGGGGAGGGCAGATGTTGTGGATCGGAAGCAGCAGCCACAACAGAAGTGACGTTGTGGCGGTAGCCAGTGGGAAAGAACGTCGACCACGTGCAAGTGTTAGTGTTCGGGGGCATATGGTATTAGTGGGGGGGGCATATAGTTGGGCGGCACATAGTTGTACAAGGTAGTCCCTTGTTGGAAGGGTGTCGTTTGTTGTGTTTCCGAATAGTTGGGGGCAGGAGGCAGAGGCGCCCATGCGAGAAGGATCCGAAGAAAATTGCAGAGGTGCATGCGTGCTGGGGGCCCGGAAAGCGAGCCAGCACGCCTGGCGTGAGCGACGACGCTTGGATGCGATGGCGCCGGCGCACCGAACAAGTGGTGGCGGCTTGGCGGCTGCCTGCATACACCGAGTGTGTGCGCAGGCAGGATGGGATGCGGTGGTTTCGGGGGAGAGGAGAGGGGAGAGGAAGGCAGCTAGCAATTGCTGGCAAGAGGCATCTGTTCTGTTGTCGTCTGTTTGTGGTGCAGGAAAATGTTTGATGGGAAAGGAAACTGGGATGCGATCTAACTGGTTGGAGCGTAAGGCACGAATGGCAGGTGTCAGGGCACAATGGCAGGTGTCAGAGCACAATGGCAGGGGGCACAATACAGAAACTTTCTTGGGACACGAAATGAAAATGTGGACTGGCAGGCTGCTGCCGCGGGGCAAAAGGGCAGGCAGCAGGGCGCTAGCAGCCAGCGGATAAAAGGGGGGAATACATACAGGGTTGGGTTGGGGGTAGGGAATTTATCACAGGAGGCGGGGTCCGGTGAGTTCAAGGAAAAAACAAAAAAAGATCAGGTTACGAGACGCCTTCAGTTGATCGGAGCTATGGCCGGATGATGATGGAAGCGACGGGTGATGATGGGCAGCGGCGGGTGATGATGGGCGAGGGCATGGGGGAGCTGTGTTGTGCCCAGCGCAAACAGAATGGGCGTGGGGTGCGGGAGCTTGCCTCGGGGCGGCATCAGGGAGCTTGAGAATCGATGGTGGGCAGCAGAGGCAGCGGAAGAGAGAAGTGGCGACGGCGGGGCCAAGCCACGGCAGGTGGCTCCCCTGGGGCGGGGGGTGCTCACCAGCCCAGGGCAGCCAGGCCGGAGGTGGGGACCCTGCCCAAGCAGCCCTGCATGTGGCTTCCCCCAGGCATGGCAGGGAAGCAGTCGTCGTGCTCCTCTGGCTGAGCCAGCAGGTTGTTGCACACCAAGGGCTGCGCCAGGGGCTGGGGCCGGGCCTGGGGGCCGGCCAGCATGGCAGCCCGCGCCGGCGGCGCCTCTGGCTTGCAGTTGGTGATCAGGGGCGCAGCCAGCGCTGCCAGCTGCTGCTGCTGGTCCAGGCAGCCCGCATCTGTGGGGTCGGGCAGCGCCACCGCGCCAGCCTGCAGCACGGGCGTGGGCGCAGGGAGCGGCAGGCACGCGAGCAGCAGGTGAGGCGGCAGCCCAGGTTGGCGGGCTGGCACAGCGGCGGCCCCCGGGGCGCGGCTGCGGGGGTTGGGCGCGACAACGCTGTGCAGCGGGCAGAGGGGCAGAGGCCCGGGCCTTGCGGGGCAGCGCGGGTGCCGTGAGCGCTCGCGCGCGGCAGCGGTGTTGCATCCATCCATGGCCCGGCTCACCTCGCGGGCGAGGGTCATCAGGTCCCAGCCCAGGTCAGCCAGGATCTGGCGCTCCTGCTGGCGCAGCAGGCCGGCGGGGATGCCTGCGGCGGCGGCAGCGGGGGGAGCGAGTGTGCGCGAGAGCAAGCGCGTGCATGGCGGTGGCGGAGGGGCCCAGTAGCTGAAGGATAGCACGCACGGCTGATGATTGGCTGGCGGCACGCATTGCGCTGTGCAGGCGGTGCAGTGCAAGGGGAGGTGGTCGTCACCGCGGCGGTTTGCAGGGGGTGGGCTGGGGCCTAAGCCCGCCTGTAGTTGGGGCCAGCGGGGCGGCAGTGCACCGCGGCCCTTGCAGCCCTGGACCTCCACCCACCCGAGATGCGGCTCATGAGGTTGGCGTCTGGGGTGGTGGTGCGGGTGGCCTCAAACTTGATGGCTATCCACAGGCTGGCAGCCAGCAGCGCCCCCGCCAGCAGCCGCTCCCGCACCAGCGCCGCCTGCCCGCTTCGGTCGCGGCGCAGGAAGGCGCGCCTGCGACATGGCAAGGGCGACGCGGGGAGGGGTGAGCGCAGGGAGAGGGAGGAGGAGCGGCGTGCTCTGGCAGGCAAGGACGGCGGATGATGGAGGCAGGGCGGGCCCGCAGCTCCGAGTCGGCAAGGCAGCCGCGGTGGGCGGCTCGGCCGGGGCTGCGGCTGCGGGCGCGCGCCACGTGCCTGAAGATGGCGCAGGCCATGCCTGCGGCCCGTGTGTCCCGCTGGATGGCCAGGCAGGCGGCGTGCATGGAGGTCAGGTTGTCCAGGCACTGGTGCACGTAGTCAAACAGGAAGGAAGCGGCCCAGGGCACGCCCGCCGGCGACGGCTCCAGCGGCGCCGGCGGCGGGCCGGCGCCATGGGGCGCAGCGGGGCCGCCCGCGGGGCGGCCTGCGCTGCTGGCCTCGCTGCGCGAGTCGTTGCTGGCGTGCAGGCGCTTGCGCTTGAGGCGGGCCGCACAGTCCTGCGGGGTAGGCGGCCGGCGGCGGCGGCCGGCGGCGTAAGGCGAGGCGTCGTGGTGGAGTAAGCCGGTGCCGCGGGCGCCGCCTGCACCGGCGCCAGGTACCAATTCTGGTCGCGCGGCCCTCCTACGCGCTGCTGCCGCCAGGGCGGGCTCAAGGGCGGTTCGGTAGGGGCCGGTCGGCGGCGATCCGCCTTGCAAGCGAGCCCAAGAGTCACCCGACCCTGCTGCGCACCCCGCCCGTTTCCCGCCGCCCGATACATCACAATAACACCAATGAGCTCGCTCACCAGTGTGGAGGGGGTTTCCGCCAACAGGTCCTGCACGCTGGTAGCACAGAGTGCAAGCACTTGACCTCCACAAATCATGGCAGTGATGTGCACTGGGCTCAGGCAGCCGCAGGCGAAGGCGCAAATGCACAGGGCTCTGCAGACTGCACAGTCAAGGAGGACGGGGCCGAGCTCCTGACGCTCAACCCCGCTTGCAGTGCCTGGTGGCCGCTGAATGCAAACTTGCTGGGCATAAGGTACCAGGAAGGCGTGCGGCCGAGCTGTTCGGCAAATGCCAACCCTGCTGAGATACTGCTGTCGTCTTCACACACTCTTCACACGCATGCGGGAAGGCCCACCCACCGGGTTTCTCGGTGCATTCGGGTCCAGGTAATGTTTGGGAAGTTTCAAGAATGTAGCCTGACCAAAAGCGCGGCGGGACGGCCGCATGGGCTACCTGGGCCCACCGTTCCAAAGGCAAGGGCCCCTTCCCGAAGCACCAGAAACGAGGCGGAGACGGTCTCGCCAACACTAAGCCTCTTGCACACCCGCCAGGCTGGGCAGGAGCTGGTCAGGCACCACCCGCCGGCGGCGCCGCTGCCACCCTGGCACATGTAAGTTGCTCTGCCAGTATTGTGCAAGTTGCTCTGCCAGTATTGCAAGCCCACAAAAAGGCAGACAATCACTTCATGACTATCCCAGCGCATCCAGGCGATTGACGAAGGAGAGCATCGCAAACAGAAGAGCCTGCCGCTGCTGCATCGCCGTTGCCGCCATGCTTGATCGCACTCATCAGCTAGCTACTCCTGAGCGTCGTCTGCCAGTTCCCCCGGGGCAGGAGCCGCAGCGGACCTGCTGCCGCCGCTGGCGCCGACTCGGCGCAGCTTGCCTGCTGCCGCCAGAAGCTCTGCAGGCTTGATGGCACTCAACAAGCTGCCGCCTGCAGCTGGGGTTGAGGCGGCAGCTGGTGCCGACGATGACGGCGTGCCGCTCATGCACATTGCTGTTGCTGATGCTGATGCGACCGTGGGAGGCAACGGCGGGGGAGGTGGCGGCGGTGTTGGGGCCGACTTTAAACCTGCCGCAGGATGTGGCGGCGGAGGGGGCGGAGGCATCGCTCCGACAGGCGGCGCCGCTGCACAGGGTGCCAGCGGTGGCGGAGGCAAGGCAGCTGCCGACTGACTCGGCGCATCGTGCTGGCAGCTTGCTGCTGCTGCTGAGGCGGCGGCAGCGACGGCGGCGGCTGCCCGCTGCTTATGCTGCTGCTGCCGCTGCTGCTGTGCCACGGAGGGCTGCTGCGCATGGGAAGCTGGTGGCACATCAATGTCCGCCTCCAGCTGAACCTGGGGTGGTGGAGCCGCCGGAGCCACGGCAGCAGGGGCCGGCGCTGCCGCATGTTCGCGCTGCACATGCCCATGCTGCTTTGCAGCCGGGCTGCCATGTGGCTGCGGCTGCGCTGCCGGGCATTCCTGCGTCGGCGTCGGCTGGCTTGCCCGAGCCAGCAGGAAGCGGGGCGGCGGCGGCAGCTTGCGGCCCGCGCTGCCGGCTGCCCCGCCCGCGCTGCTGCGAGCTGGGGCTGGTTGCCGTGGCGGCCTGGCCTGCTGATGCGGTGCAGCTGGCGGAGCACCCATCGTTGCTGCTGCTGCCATGCTGTCCAGCTGGACGGCCTCGCAGGCAAATGGGTTGCCGCCGGGATACAGCCCTGCAGGGCCTGGCATGCCTTGGGCTGGCCGGCTGCTCGGCAGCTGCTGAGCTGGAGGCCGCTGCGAAGCCTGCTGCCACCCCTGCTGATACCAGGGCGGCGAGCGCTGGTGCTGTTGCGGCTGCGGGGGTGGCGACGGCTGGGAGGTGGGGTGCTCCTGCTGCGGGATGGCGACTTGCGTCGACTCCTGCTGCAGCCTGCCAAGTTGGGATGCCAGGGGTCCAGCACATGCTAGCTCCGCCGGCGCAGCAGGCGCAGCAGAGGAGGGCAGCAGAGGCGGTGCGGCCTCCCCGCTGCTGTGCTGGCGGTGCTGCCCCGGGTGCAGCTGTCGCGAGTCCCTCACAGGCTCGCTCATCTGCGGCTCCGTCGGCGGCACCTGATTGTCACAATGCTGCTGCTGCTGCTGCTGCTGCTGAGCAGGGGGTGGAGGATGCCCCGGCTGCTGCTGCTGCTGCTCCCACACCACGCTGGGCGGCCCTCCGAAGCCCACAACGGGGGCAAACCAGCTAGGGTTGGGCTTGTGCGCTGCAACCCGGCGGGCAGGCAGCGGCAGCGCCTCTGCATGGCCTGCGCAGTCGCATGCCAGGTGGGTGCAGGGAGGCGGGGACGGAAACGAAAACGCGGGGAAGCTCAGAAGGCACGTGTGGCGTGCAAACATGGGGTGGCGGGTGCAAGCAGGCAACAGACAGGCAGGGCGCGAGGCGGCCAGGGCACACGTTGCTGGCTGCCGTGGCATGCTGGCGACAGCCCTCACCTTGCCAGGGGTTCCACGCGCTGCCAGCAGGCGCCAACGAGTCCCGCCGCTCCAGGCTGCCCTGGTCGCGGCGCGGAGGCGGCGCCTCAGCATGCTTGGCAGGGATGCGGTCGCCGCGGGCCGGGCTGGCAGCGGTTCGGCCCTCTTGCAGCACTTGGCTGTCGGCAAGGGCCTCGGGAGAGAAGGCTGGCACCGACTTGGCCAGCGGGCTATAATCTGCGCAGGATCGGGAGTGGAAGCTTTTGAGCAGCAGCCCAGGCGGCGGCGGAGGATTGAGCACCGACACGGCAGCAGCGCGCGCACCAAGGGTGGGGTTCCTCTGGTGCTTGGGAGCAAGCTTGCTGCTCCCCAGTCTGAGCTTCTCCAGCCCGAGCTTCTCCATGGCTCGGCTGCCCGCAGCTGTTGCAGTAGTGAAACAGACGTCTAAAAGGCCGCGGCCTGCCCGCTGCCCGCTGCACGTTCGAGCAGTTCTAGCTCGAGCTATTGCAGGCCGTTGCGACCCGCTACTTCGACAGTCCCGGCCACCAGGCCCACTGAGTCCTTACAACTCAGCGTAACAGGGAATGCCTGCAATAATAGGGCAGACAACTCTGGTGGAGGTCTGGAGAGACATCCCACTCGGCCACCTTGGCGGCGCGCGCCAGAGGGGCACGTGTGCGCGGGGCGGGGCAACTGCCCAGGGCGCCGAGAGTGCCAAAAGAAGGGACAGCAGCAGGTGGTGAGCATTCATCTGTTGGTGCCATGTGATGGAGGGCACAGCGCGTGCTGCACAAGGCTGGATGATGGCCACACGGTAGCGCCACCGCCACCGCGGGCGCCGCTTCATGGGCGGCAGCACGGGCAGCAGGGCCTTCCATGCCGCCCATGCGCCGTTTTCCATTGCTTTCATACCTGAGTTGCACCTCCCGCACCAACCTGCAGTGCAGAGTGGCCGCCATGCCAACGCACTTCATAGCATGTTCTTCGGCATTGTGCTCCCTCAGGCTCCCTCAGCGACCGCCGTGCAGCTTGATCAGCAGCGGAGGGCAGCGTGGGCAGCCCGCGGGGTGGCAGCGCGCAGCAACACGCCGCCCGCGCCGGCCGCTGGCGGCGGCGGAAGCAGACGCTCCGCCGCCGCCGCCGCAACAGCTCCTCCAGCCCCCTCTCGAGGCGCAGGCATCCGACTCGCAGCTGTGGTCGGAGGTGCAACTCCTGGCGGTGCGGGCGCAGAGCCTGGAGGCCAGCGGCGGCGCCGAGCAGGCGGCCGCCATGCTCGGCGCGGCGCTGGAGCGGCTGGAGCGGCGGCACGGCCCCGCCAGCCTGCAGCTCGTGGCGCTGCGCCAGCTTCTGTGGGACCTGCTGCACACCGGCGCACGGCACGACGAGGCGCTGCAGCAGGCGCGGCGCGTGCACGAGGCGGTGGCAGCCCAGTTTGGCGCCGCCTCTGCCGAGATCCAGCTGGTGGCGGTGAGGCTGGGTATCTCCACGGCAGGTGCGTGCGCCGCACGCCACGCACCGCCAAGCAGGCCGCAGCGCGATGATCGCATCCGTCCATGCCGCACGCTTTGCCTCCACCCCTTGCGCGTCGCTTGGCTGGCGCAGCCACAAGCCGCCAGGCATCAGTCGCAGGCAGCCGGCGCCGGGGTGCGAGTCGCCCCCCACCCACCTGCCGCCGTAACATGCTGTGCCCCTCATCCTGGCCCCCTTCGCCCTATGCCCGCAGCCTGCGGCCAGCTGGAGGAAGGCATCCGGCTGATCTATGACGCCACCCCCGTGCTGCAGCACAACCTGGGCCTCATGCTGCGCCAGGCGCAGCAGCTGGCGGGGCAGCGGCAGCCCGGGGGCGGCGCCGCGGACGACGGCCAGGAGGAGGTTCGCGCCGCTTGGGGAGGGCGGCAGACACCTGCTGCTGCTGCTGCTGCTCCTGCTGTTGCTCCTGCGGCTGGTGCTGCTGCTGCTGCTTTTGCTGCTCCCGCTGTTGCCCAGCCTGCTCTGCCAGGTTGGCGGTTGGGCCGGGCCCTGCGAGCGCGTTAGGCGTGACGGCGCTTGCCCTGCTATGCCTGCCTGGCAGGCTGCTGAGCTGGCAGCGCTGCAGGAGAACATCGACAAGGTGGCGACAGCGCTGGGTGAGGGCAACTTCTACGGCTCCCTGCTCACGCTGCAGCACGCGGCGCAGCGAGGGATGCAGGAGGGTGAGCGGGGGCCGAGGCTGTGCGTGTGCGGGCGCCGGTGGCGCCGCGGGGCGCCGAGCGCTGCAGGCGGCCGGGGTGGCAGGCCCGCACCATGGTGCGCCGCCAGGCAGGCGCGGCTCGTGTCTGCGGCGTGCGGAGGCCCCGGCATGGACCGCCGCCCACGCCGTCTCCTGCCTGCCTGCCTGCCTGGCCTGGCTGCCCTGCACAGGTGTGGTGCGGGGGTGGGAGGAGCTGGAGCAGATTGTGGACTCCGGCTTTGGCAGCCTGGTGGCGGCGGCGGCGTACGTGGACGGCGGCGACGGCCTGGTGGCCAATGCGCTGCGGGAGCACGACAGGTGGGCGGCGGTGGCGGTGCCCCGCACCGCGCAGCCGCCTGGCATGCATGCGGCTAGCGGGCCTCTAGCTGCCTGCACTCTGCTCCCCATGCCTGCTGCTGCCGCCGCCAAGGCTGTGCTCCCGCGCGCGCCCGTCACCCACTGCGCCGCCACCGCTGCCCCTCTGCCCCCCGCAGGGTCACGCAGCAGCTGAGCGGGGATGTGCTGCTGGCGCGCCTCGTGCAGCGGCAGAATGAGCGGCTGCACGAGGTGGGGGAGCAGGGCATGGAGCACCCTCTCTTCCAGGGGTGAGGAGGTGGCTGACGTGGTGGGAGGGAGGGAGAGGAGGAGGCAGGGTAGGCGGCTCACGGGCCCAGACGTCGACGGCTGGCCGGCCCGGGCCTGCTGTCTGCTTCGCCTTGCCCCCGGGATCGCACAGCCTTCGATGCTTTGCGCAATGATAGCCATAATGTACACGCACCCTGTATGTGTATCTGACAGCGTAGCAAGCGAGCAGCGGCCCCACCCAGAGGCGGTACGCGGCGACAAAGGCCGCCGTGCGGGATGCCACTGCGGCCGCCGCATCGCCGCCACCGGCCGCCCGCCGCTCCGAATGCCGCCCTCGCATTCAGAAGCTGGGCTGCCACAGCTACAAGGGGATACAGTGGGCCCGCTCTATTCACAACTAATGTACAGGTTGAAAACTGGGTGTGGTGGAAAGCTCAGGCTGGCAGTCGTCCAATGCTGCCACCTGTCACATAGCAGCGCGCGGGTGTGCCGCTCAGCTCTTGCGAGCCTTCTTGGCGGCGCCGCCGCCGTCGCCCTGGCTCTGCCGCTTCTGCTTCTGCTTCTTGGCGCCGCCGCCGGCTGGGGCCGCGCCTTTCTTGCCCTTCTTCTGCTTGCGCAGGCTCCAGCCCTCGTCGTCGTCACGCCTGCAGAGGAGAGGCCGGGGGCGGAGGCGGGGTCACGGTGAGGGGCCGGAGCCGCCAGCCAGCCCGGTGCCTGCTCGGCACCGGCCGCGCCATCCTGCCGCCGCCATCCTGCAGCGGGGCTGGCGCCAGGCCGCCAGGCAGCGCCGCACGGCGCAGCGCAGCACCGCGGCAGCAGCGTGATGGCGGTGGCGGCAGGGGCAGCAGCGGCCCTGGCAGCAGCAGGGGCGGCCGCGGCGGCGGCGCCCCGGCAGCAGCAGCAGGCGCGGCGCCGGCACTCACTCCTTGTACTGCCCCCGCTGGGAGCCCCACTGCGCCTCCACCGCCTGCGTGCGGCGGCTGCCCAGCTTGCGCTTGGGCCCGGCCTTGCTGCGCTGCCCCGCCTGCCACGCCTCGTTCTGCTCCTGCAGGCGCTGCCGCCGCTCCGACTTGGCCGCCGCCTTGGCCGCCCTGGCGGCCTGCTTGGCGGTGGGGGGCTTGGCGGCGGGGCCCGTGCCCCTGCCCACCGCCACGCCGCTGCGGATGCGCTCGTGCAGCACCTGCTGGCTCTTGGCCGCGGCGCGCGCCTCCACCGCCGCTCGCGCCTTCACCGCCTCGGCGCCCCGTCCCACCGCCGCCTCCACGTCGAGCACCCCAGACAGCAGCAGGCCCCGCCCCGGTACGCGAGACGGCGCCGCCACCGCCTGCTGCTGCTGCTGCTGCTGCTGCTCGCCAGGTGCCGCGGCGGCGGCATCGGTGGTACTGCCCGGCGACGGTGATGGTACCGCGGCCACCGCCCGCTCGTTGGCATCCAGGTCCTCGCACACCTCCGCCAGCTGCTCGGCAGCCGCCGCGAAGCTCTCCTTGATCTCTGCAGCGCGCCGAGCGCCAGGCGGGCAGCCGAGCGGTGAGCGTTCTTCCCGCCACCCCAGCACGGGCACGCAGCAGCCGGCCGGCCGGCCGCACCGTCCACAAACACTCCAATCCCACACTGTAAGCTGCAGCTGGGGCGGCACAGGCAAGGCCACGCCGCGGTGCTAGCGTGCGGCCTATGGCAGGGCCATGGAGCAGCCGGGCTGGCGCAGTGGCAAGCCCCGGCACGCCTCCCCGCCCCCGGCACGCCTCCCCGCCCCGGCACGCCTGCCTCCCCGGCAGGCCCCCACCTACCTCGGATGGCTGAGGAGCCGCTCCCGATGTCTTTCCCCATCTCCTGAGGGTCCTCCACGGCCAGCGCCCAGGGCCGCCGCGCATTGCGCCAGGCCTTGACCTTGAGGCACACGCCGCCCATGCGGATGCTCACCGCTTGCTTGGTGTATGAGAAGCGGTGGCCTGCGGGGGGTGGGTGAGGGGAGGGGAGTGTGGGGGACAGGGAGGGGTGGTGGAATGAGAGAGGGAGAGGGGGCAAGGAAGGGCAGGGGCGGGGGCGATTGGCACCAGGGGAGATAGAAGGGAGACGGGGAGCTGCGGTACGACGGTGATGCCACGGTGGTACTGCCACAGCGCGGGGGCGCATACTGCCACAGCGCAGGGGCGCACCGAATCGGTCGAAGAAGCCCCACAGGAGTACCCCCAGGTCTGCGGGCGGGCCCCGCTGGCCCCGCTGGCGCCGCTGCTGCTGCTCGCGGCCCGCGGCGGCGGCGGCCGCCGCCCCAGCAGACAGCG